GGGGCTGCTGTTGGGATTGCAGACTTGCCTAATGCTCCTTAACACACCTCCTGCATTACTTCCCAATTGTAGCTCAGTAAGGTCCTGGGGCTGGTCCTGTCAATCGGGCTGAATCCAAAGAGCAGACCAGTAGGGAACAGTCTCTGAGAACCAAGATGAGGATGCTCATAGCCATGAGTGCCAAATGGGGCATGGGGGATGGATGCATAAAGTTCTTGAACTTTCTGGGAGAGGCAGTATAGTTGCATGGAGAGAATTGGGCTTAGGGCCTTCAGTCTGGTTATACATCCTGCGTCCCCTTCCTTACAGTGGGTAGGGAGTCAGATAATCTCTCTAAGCGTCATTTTCTTCATCTGTAAAATAAGGAGATGATAAAACATCTTTCACGAGACACTTGGTGAATGAGTGAGTGTGTGTGTATGTGTGTGTGTGTGTGTATGTGTGTGTGTGTTACTGGAGATGAAACCCAGGACCTCGCACATGCTAAGCAAGTGCTCTACTACTGAGCTTCATCCCTGGCCTTTTTATTTTGAGACAGGGTCTCACTAAATTGCCAAGGCTGTCTTTGAACTTGCAACCCCCTTGCCTCAGCCTCCTGAGTAGCTGGGATTATAGTTGTATTCAACTGTATCTGGCTCACTTGGTGAGTTCTAAGGGTTAAAATGCTCCACAGACTAAATATAAAGCCTCTTCACGTAGGGTGTTGTCACCATGACAAGCTGGCTCCCTGGGGATGGTCTCAAGAGCCTTTACCCCAGTACTCCATTTTCTTGGATTATAGCCTCATCTTTTATACCTTTGACTCTGTCACCTTTCACATGGCCTCTGCCTGCTTTCTTATAGCTCCAGTGGTCTTTGACCAGTCTTTCCTTGGGCTCTTTTAGGCTCCAACCAATAAGTGTCAAATGCCTGGCACAGTGGCACATGCCTGTAATCCCAGCAATTTGGGAGGACTGAAGATTTGAGGCTAGCCTTAGCATCTTTGTAAGGCCCTCAGCAATTTAGTGAGACCATGCTTCAAAATAAAAAATAAGCAGGGCTAGGGATATGACTCAGTGGTAAAGTGCCTCTGGGTTCAATCCCCAATGCCAAAAACAAACACTGAACAAACAAAAACTGGCATTGATCAACCTATTCTGTGTTGATATCAAGGACATCCCCTCTCTAGCAAGTGTAGGACACCCTCCAGCGCTCTGTGCCTTTCCAAGTCCTGCTCCATTATAATCTCCACCTGCACCCCAACCTCAAAACCTGCTTCTCTTTTCTGGCTTCATCCAATTTTCCTTTTTCTCCACTCTGTCCAGACCATGGACAACTTCTTTCAAATGAAGTTCCCTCCCTCCAACTCTCCATTCCAGTGAATGGCCTCATGCTATGTCCCTGGAGACTTACCTAACAGGTCCCACCTTGGCCCTCCTCTTCCTATTCTGCTGCTATAGGGGCCTGTGCTGCAGTGTGCTGGCCTGTGGTTATAGCTCACCCCAGTCCCTAGATTCCAGTCTGTCTGTTCCTCTGGGTTGGGAGAAAGGAGTAGGTATGGTGGGGTGTGATGGCTTCAGGCTGAGGTACCTGTGATTGGGTAGGATGGGAACATGCACTCTGGAGTTGGATGTGTGTGTTTGGGGATGGACCACTCACAGTGTAATAGGGACACATTTTCCTATGGAAGTGTTTCTGCCTTGGCCCCTACCCAGAGCCAGAAGCCAATTTGTGAGTAGGAAATAGGAGATGAACATTGTTCGCAGGTAAGAGTTGGCAGAGGGTGTCTTTGACCGGTCTTGGCCCTACTGGAGGCACCTTCCTGAATGGAACCCTTGTTCTTCCCACCCTCATCCCCTACCCCAGCAGGTCTTCTCATCTGCCCTTTGCACCAGCCTCAGCCACACCACAGCTCACTGTGTACTGGAGGCCTCCACACCCAGGGCAGGACCTCTGACCCTGACGGTCTCCTGTTTTACGTAGCCCACCTGTAGTGTCTGGTTCAGCAGGAAGCCTGGGATAATGCTGAATTACCCCTTCTAGCATCCAGACTCACCTTCTCCAAACCCATATCCAGTTTTGGGAATGTCTTCTAGCAGCCTCAGATGACCTAGAACATCTCTCTCTGGTGAGTTCTAACCCAAGATAACCTAAAGTCTTAAGTAGGACTTCCTTCTGGGGAATCTTCTCTTTCCCTCTTACCTCTCCCTACCATGCCCTGGATGGGACATAATGCAGAGGTAGAAAATCATCAGACTGGAGAATGGAGGAAGGGCTGGTTGGTGAGAGCTTTGACAGGGCTTCCTCTCTTTGGACCAGGGAAACTTTTTTCTTCTTTTTTAGTGTGTGTGTGTGTGTGTGTGTGTGTGTGTGTAATAGTTCCTGGGACACCTGGGGCATATTTATAATTTTCTCTCTCTCTTTTTTGGTGCTGGGGATTGATGTAGCTCAGTGGTATAGCGCTCGCTTTGCATGTGGGAAACTGGAGATTTAATCCTCAATCCTGATATAACAAAATAATTCCTGCAAACAAAAGAAATGCCTTATACCCATTAGCTAGCTTCAGCAATCATCAACATTTGGCTAATCTTTTTTTCATTTATATATCTTCAAGCATTGTTCTCAACTCCAACATAATTTTTAATAAGAACATGATTGAGATAAATTTTGGTTCACATATAATTGTTAAGAAATAATACAGACAGATCCCTTGTATATTTTCTCCAGTTTTCCTAATGGTAATTTATATTTTTAGTTAACTTTTTTTTTTTTTTTGGTATCTGGATTGAACCCAGGGCTTCACAGTTGCTAGGCAAATGCTCTGCCACTGCCAACCCCAATGGGAACAGCTTGCAAAACTATATTATCACAATCAGAATAGTGACATCCATACAATCTACCAATCTTATTTACATTTCCCAGTTTTGTGCTCATTCATGTTTGTATATGAATTTCATCATCTATGTTCCTGGATCTACCACCAAAGACCATGAGCTTCTCAATACCAAAGGATCCCTGATATTGCCCTTGTGTCACCACAACCACCTCCTCCCAGCACCACGTCTACTTGGTCACTAAATGTTTTCTATTTCCAAACTTTCATCATTTCTAAAATGCTGTATAAATGGAATCAGACAACATGTCACTTTTGGGGATCAGCACTTTTCATGTCAATAATTTGTTCCCTATTTTGGCTGATTACTATTCTATTGTATGAATACACCATAGCTTAACTCTTTATTTGCTAAAAGACATGTAGGTTGTTCCCAGTTTTTGGCTATTATGAATAAAGCTGCTATGAACATTTGTGCACAGATTTTCAAATGCTTAGTGATGTGAAATTCAAATTCACATTTTGGGGGCCAGGAGTGCTCACTGAATCTGTCATTGTTTTTGAGGGCTTTTTTAATGAACAGAATTAGGATATAAATTTAAAATTAAGGCAAAATATACCATGAATTCATACAGATACTTCTTATCTAAATTCAAGACTGCACAGATTTTGTGTATTATCATTCACTGATTTTGCATCTCCTACACCAAAATTCCAGTTTGTCCATTCCAAAATGGACACTATTGTTTTATCCTACATATTTTCATATCTTCCAACAAGATTACTAAAAATGGTTTAAGATTTTATGGCAGTTTAAAAAATGTCAGTTGCTTTGGTTCTCTAGGAGATGGGGATGTATAAATTAGTTTTTTGTTTGTTTTCTGTTTTGGTCATGCTGGAGATTAAATTCAGATTGCATGAACTCTACAACTGACCTATATTCTCAGTCCCCAAATTACTGTTTAAAGTCATTTCTAAAGACATCTGACACACATTTCACTTTCAATTTTTAGAGATTTATTTTCAAATAATAATAATAATAATGTAAAAATATATTTCCAAATTCATATATATTAAACGAAGTATATTCAGAGACTTTTAGACTCTTTTCCTTTCACTCTGGTCTTTCTCTTCCCAGGTCACCCAATTAAATAATCTATACTTGCACCGTTTTTAAAATATTTAGATTGCCCAATTCCCTTTAACAATCCAGTAAACCTTGGTCCTGACTTCAACAGGAAAGGCTTTAGTTTCACCATTGAGATCCTCCTTTAATTTCCTTTTCTTTCTTTCGTGTGAGTGCGTGTGTGCGTGTAAAATGTGGGCTACGCTATCCCTTCTATTTGATTTCCCATAGCATTTCCTGGGAAGATAAACGATGTGAAACTCTCAACATGCTTGTACGCAAACATGCCTATTGACAGATCATCGGTCTCCTCCGGGAAAGCCTCAAGAGTCTCAAGTCCAATCTACACATTTTACACAAGAATAAACGGAGACTCACAGAATTGAGGGGACCTGCACCAGGGAACGTCGGAGCAGGCCGGCGCTCCAACCTCCGGCGGTCCACCGGTCTTCCCCAGCCTGGACAAGAGTGGAGCCGGGTTAAATACAAAAGTTAAAAAAAAAAAAAAAGTACAGAGCATGCAGATATCTATTTTATACCAGTCAATATTTCAGGTAACCCTCGAAGGAAAAACCAAGTCACAAAACGCTGCAGAACGGCTAAGTGCCTGGCGGGAGCCTGGGCTGGGGCCCACGAGAGCCTCCACTCTCGTGGAGTGGCCCAGGGAAGCAAAGGTCTGCGTTCCGAGGTGACGGAACCGGGGGATGCGGTGGAGGCACAGAAGGGGGAGGACTAGATGCGTGGACACTGGGCGGTTTAGTTAAGGTTGCCCCTCTTGGCGTCCCAAAGAGAGGACGGACACACTCGGGACCACAACACAAGCCGGGAGAAGAGCCACACAGGTTGGATCGTCAAATCCGAGTTTTCGAAAGAAGTGGTCCTGCTGAGCACTCGTAGGGCTTCCAGGTCTTTGGCTCTCTCCCGGGCCTAAGAGGCGGTGCCAGACTCTGCGGGCGGAAGTCCGCCCGGAGGCTGGGGGCGGAGCAAAGGAACTGACACCGTAGGAACGCCAATAGGCGGGGTGGGTGGGTGTTGTTCCCGCCCTCGTGGGTAAGGGCTAACGGTTTCCTGCAGCGGCGTCTGTGAGGGGTGGGGGAGAAGAGGAGGAGGAAGCGAAGCTGTGCCCAGTGGCTCCTGCGACCCTGCACCAACTCTAAAATGAGGGGCTGCGGGGAATCAGAGCTGAAGTTCGTGGAAGGGGAAGAGGCCGTGGAGTCCCCCGGACCACCCCCAGAACCACGCGCCCAGGAACCCCAAGCTCCAGTGCCCGAGCCCGGCCTGGATCTGAGTCTGAGCCCGCGGCCCGAGAGCCCCGAGCCGCGGAACTGCAGTCCGGGGCGGCGGAAGGGGCGGGCGGAGCGCCGGGGTGGGGCTCGGAGGGGGCGGCAGGTGAGCTGGGGGGAAGCCTGGCCCCCATCCCGCCGACGGCCAGGAGCATGTCTCTTCACGGTGCTGCTCTCTGCTCCAGGTCCGTTTCCACCTGGCGCCTCCCTCACCCGTCCGGCCCGAGCCGCTGCCCGCGGCTGCTGCACCTAGCGATAAGCCCGCGGCGCCGCAGGAGCTGGAGGCGCCCGCGCGGCAGAGTAGCATGGCCCTGAGCCTCGAGCTGCAGGCCGCGCGGGCCGCATCCATGGGCCAGTTTGATGCCACGAAGGCCGTGGAAGAGCAGCTGAGAAAGTCTTTCCAGATCCGCTGCGGCCTGGAGGACAGTGTGGCCGAGGGTGAGCTGGGCGAGCGGCCGGTAGGGCGCGGGAGTCTGAGTGAGGGGCGTCACTCACCCCAACCCCCTCTGCGCTATCAGGATTGAACGTGCCGCGCTCCAAGCGGCTCTTCCGGGACCTGGTGAGCTTGCAGGTGCCAGAGGAACAGGTTCTCAACGCTGCACTCAGGGAGAAATTGGCGCTCCTGCCGCTGCAGGCCCGAGCCCCGCCCCCAAAGGTGAAGGGACCAGGGCTTGGACTTACCTTGGGTCTCCTGGCCTCGCGGATTCTCCTTCCTCCTAGCGTGTAACCTTCCTTTGGCCCCGACTCCAACAGGAGCCACCAGGGCCGGGACCGGACATGACCATCCTGTGCGACCCGGGCACATTGTTTTATGAATCTCCGCACTTGACCCTGGACGGACTGCCCCCTCTACGGCTTCAGCCCCGGCCCCGCCCTTCAGAGGACACCTTCCTCATGCATCGGACACTGCGACGGTGGGAAGCTTAGACCCCCAAAGCTCCCTGGATTGCTAGTTCATATTTTTGTAGGTTAAAAATTTTTTTCAGAATAAAGTGGTTTTGCTAATAAATGTAACTCTTTTTGGGAGCCAGGAAAGGACTAAAACCCCTCCAGGCGTCTTCCACCTGGGGTGCATGTTGGAAGCTGCCTGGAAGTGAGTTTTTGGTCGTTTTAGGAAAGTTCCCAATCAGGGATTAGATCCAAGCTTTTAAAACTTCCACGTTACCCATGAGTAGATACAAGGTACACATGTGGGTCTTGGCCTATTGCAGTTTATGGAGGCCTTCCCTCATTACCTGTCTGGAGGTATCTGCAAAGCTTGCTTTCATCTTTAAGGGCCTTGCCCATCTTATTTACACTTAACCCCAGAATTTTCAGTATTTGTTGAATCAATGTTCAGGACGCCAGTAACCCTTGACAGACCACTGAAGAGCTTCATGTTAATCGCCTTTGCCTAAGTGTGAAGCCCCAGAAAAAGAAAAAAAAAAAAAAAGTGTCTTTGGCCAAAGTGCCCTCTGTTAAGACCTTTAAAATTAGCCTTCTGCCCAAGGTTCCCACAAAAATATTTTTCAGCAAGGTTTTTGGGGTTAGTCAGACTCAAGTTGCACATCAAAATTTGTATCACACTCCTTTTGTGACCAGGGTTCTGTGAAATGAATTGTAGATGTGATTAGCACCCAGCAATCTTCCCAACCATTAAAAAAATTCTCTTTGAGATCCTACAGTAGGAACTGGTTTGACAGGAGGTGCATCCCTTCCCCAGCTAGAAAGAGCCACATACCAGGTGTGGGGGGGCCACTGCCCTAGACATTATGTTTATTGTGCTGTTCTCACATTCCAAACCCAGCCCCCACTCCCACTGGGGGACAGCAGAAGGAAGGATTTTCACAGTACTTGTGTGCCTCCCTGCCAAACTTCCCCCTCTTAAACCTCAGTCCATCTATTCATGGTTCACTGAAATGCAGCTAGGGACAAGGGCTGAGGAGAAACGGGAATCTCCCTGGGAGAGAGCAGGAGGAAAGGGTTATGAGGATTTGACATTCCCCACTTCCCATGCCCTAGGAGAACAGAGTTCAGCAAACAGTCCAAGCCATCCAGCCCAGCAGGCTAGTGGAGAAGATGATGGTAACTCCAGCACAGCTGGGCTTGCTGCTCAGGTGCCAGAGGTATAGGGAGGAGGCCGGGGCAGCAACTTAATAAGTATTCTTTGCAGATCCAAGAAAGGAAACTATTTTTGGAGTCAGAAAGGAAAAACCTTGGGATGCTTTCCTCTTTTCCCAGGTCCTTAGGAGCAGCAAGGGCAGCCTCTTTGCACTTTCTGTTCAGGGGCCACTTAGTGGCTGGGGGAACGGGCCTTGTGGAACAGGTACACAGGACGCTGGAAGCCTAAGGGGAAGAGTATGAAGTCAGGAAGCAGGTTGGCAAGTATCTTAGAACTCTCCATTGGTTCTGCACCCTTTCAGCCAGGACCAGCCTCCCCCAACTCAAAGAACCAACCTTACCTTTGGAGGTGTTGTGGGGTGTGGCCACAAGCTCATAGCTGGAGAAGCCCACCTCTGGGGACATCAGATAGGAGCTGAACTGTTCTGGCTTCAGTTGAATTCGAAAGTAGTTCTTATAGATTGTTTCCTGGGAAGAAAGGCAGGAGATAATACCTCTGCTTGCTGCCTCCTCCCCCTAGCCAAGAATGGTGCTCACCCAGGGACCTTCTCCTGTCACTCAAATCTTTCTCTTTCTGCTTCCTTGAGACCTTTTTTTTTTGCCTCAACCAAAAGATTATTTCCCATTTCCACAGAAACCCAACTTACTGTAAGAGTCTTTCTCTTGCCATAGGATGACCATGGTTGGGGCTCCAGGACCAGGATGCCCCCTGGGCGTAGGTGCCGGTAGATTCGGCGGAACATGCGCTTCAGTCCCTCGTCTCCCCAGTTCAGATGCACCCACTTGGTGAGGCTGAGGCAGAGCACCACATCATACTCAGGTTTTTGGGCCTCCACTAGCTCATCTCGATCCAGCACATAGTTACCCTGAGGGCAAGAATTGCAGGTGAAGTCTACAGAGGGAAAAGAATCACCACTGGCCCTCACAATTGCTCTTCAGACTTTAGAAAAGTCCTATTTTCTTCACACTATGGTTACACTTGCCTCTGACACTTCTTACACTACATTCCAATGGTGTCTTCCTTTCAGTCTCATTTTCTCTTTACATCTTCCTGCCTCTGCTTCCTACTGGTGGTAAATAAAAACAAGCTTGAAAGGAAGCTTGGTTAATTTTAAACTGAGCACATTATCCACAAGATCTTCCCAGATGGGGTCAAACTGCAGCTGCTCTCCAGAATCTGTTTATTCCCACCTACAAATATGCAAGAGGACCCAGCCCAGGTATCAAAAGAAGACCCATGAGTCCTTCCCTAAGTTGGGGTTGGCAAAATGTCAGGCCTGTTTTATCCTTGCTCTGAGACAAATCAAGAGCCATACCTCCTAGGAAACCTAACATAAGCTCCTCACCATCCCCTAGAAAGTCCTCTCACCTACCCCAGTATGTTGGCAAACATTCCTGTAGATGGCCTAACTGTACTGTTTTGTGGGGAGCTGTGTATAGTCAGAGGTCAGATGCCCTGCCAGGCTCAGTATTCTCCCCTGCCTTGCGAAGATGTCTCTGGCTGTTCTCCCCATCCCCCCCCCCCCCCCAACTACCTAGGGTCAATGTGGAGATCTAAAGCCAAATCTCTTGGGTTTCCAACCACTGACTTGTCAATGAAGTCTATATCTAAGGAAACAAAAGAAGCTGATGCAAACAAGATCCCTATGAAAGGTCAGAAACTACAAATGTCTCTCACTGCTAGTGTTCCTCCAAGAAATTCCCTTTTGGAAAAAACCCTCATGCTCCCCCAGCAAGTTTAAGAACAAGTTTCCATCTGGAGTGAGTCCTTTAATGAGTGGCAATAGCTGCCCTAGAGGGAAGGTGGAATGGCCTGGCAGTCTTGTCTGAACAGCCCAACAGGGGTAAGCCCTTATGTTGGGGAAGAGATTCCAACAGTCATGAGAAATGACCCCAGGGTTAAAGCCCCAAGGTAGAGACCCTAGCTTTCAATTATAGGAGGGGAGAGAAGACCACTAGTATTAGTCTCACTTACCAATCCAGACCCATCTCTTGAGGAACTGGTTCTTAGGAGTAAGATGCAGGAAAATACCTCTGGGTCATAACCTTCCGCTGCCACATTCCCATTTAACTTCACTTAAACATCCCATCCCTATTCCAAGACCCCCAGGACCCTCTTACCCTGACGAAGACAACATTGTTGGGGAAGACAGATGTGTCCGCTCCATCCAAGGGCAGTTGGGGTGCAGCAATGGGACCCCTGCTGGCTGTCAGTGAGGCTGGGAAACAGCTCCTTTTCCGAATAGTGGCAGTCCCTTCCTCACCTTCTGCCCCTGGGTCCCCCTCAGAAGTCTGGGGTTGGAGCCGTAGTTCCTCAGACAGGTAGTGTCGGATATTTTGGCGGGCTGAGTGGATGAGCCGGGCATCAATATCCAGCCCCACCATGCGGGATGGACCCCACTTGCAGGCAATGCTCAGGGTCAGATGGCCCACATTGCAGCCCAGATCTAGGACGTCCCGGCCGCGAAACCACTCAGGCTTCAAAACCCGAAGGCGCCCATCCTCACAGGAAGGATTGCGGTACCCATAGTACTTGCTATAATTTCCATACTGGAACTTGCGGTGTTGCTTTTTGAAGCCTGCTGCAGGTAGTGGGTGGTGATGGTGACGACCTCCCCCACTCCCTCGGCCCTTTTCCTTGGAACCCTGGCCTCCACCCCTAGCCCCTGCCTCCGACTTGCTGGAAGTCCTGCGACGTTTTCGATGTCGGGAGGAGGAAGACGAGGGTGCAGAGGTAACTGAGGCAGTTGGAGGGGCTGAAAGGGAGCCTGAGGGACCTTGCAGGGCAGATGGAAGGGGAGACACGACCTCATCCCTGCAGTTGATGGCTGTGTTGAGTTCATAGGGTTGGGGGGCATCCCGGTTCTGGCCCCTGTGCCGCTGCTGCTGTGTGGCGCCCTCCCCGTGAAGTGAGGGGGTGAGGGGGGCTGTGGGCAGCACGGCATGGCTATCGTTCCCTCCAGATGCCTGCTGCTGCTGCTGGTGGTGCTGTCCCCGGTGCCTATGCCGCTTGCGACCAGTCTTGAGTGGCGAAGCGAGAACTACTTGGGCCTCATCAGTGCAAGTATTGAGACTGAGTGGGTCAGTGATATCTTTGGGGATGAGGATCTCCACTGGATCTCGCCCCTTAGCCGGAAGTGGGGATGACTTAGGGGTCTCCGCATTGAGTGCGCGACTCACTTCCTCATCCAGGAGGCTATTCAGGTTCAGGGGATCAAAGATATTGCCCCCCAAGAGGAAGTTGGAGGGTAACACAGAGTCACAGTCCGAATTCACCCGCCGGCGCCTCTTGAAGGCCGGGTGTTTAAAGCCTCCACCGCCTCCCCCAACATTACAGCTATTTCTCCTCTTGCCCCCTCCCCCCCCAGGGGCCCGGTGGGGCTGGTAGCCATTGCGTGGCCGTGGAGGGGCAGGGGGGCCCAGTTCCGTCCCGCCCCCTCCCCGGCGCTCCTCCCCCACGTCCGGGGGAGCCGCTCGCCCTGGGGGATCGGACAAGGGGGCCTCCCCGTGCGATTGCGCCTGGGGGCCGCCCCCTCGGTGCTGCTGCCCCTGGCCACCCCGGGGGCTGGCCGTGGCCCCTGCCGAGTGTGCGCTCCGTCCAGGCCCGCGCTCCGTCCTTCCGCGGAGCTCCCCGGAGGCGGCCTCTCGGTGCGGCTGCACCGCGGGGCCGCCCCCTCCGCCCGACTCATCTTTGAGCGGCGGCGGCGGGGCCGGCACCAGAAACGGCTCCTTCTCCGCCGCCATCTCGATCATTTCCTCCCCTTATGCCGTCCCAGTCGAGGGTACCGAGGGGGATCAGGGGGCTTAACCCCCCCCTTCCTGGCCCCTACTCCCTTCCCCCCTTTCCCGAGTGCGCGCGCAGCTCTGCTCTGCTCGCCTTGAGCCCAGGCGCCTCCCCCCGAAGCGCTCCCCACTCGCCCGCGAGACCAAAACAAGATGCCCGCGAGACCCAGACAACCCGAGAAATCAACAGCGCGTGCGCCGACCCCTTTCTCCACCGCCACTACCACTCGGCCGCGAGCGCGCACGACTGGCGCGCGTTCCTCTCCCTCCGGAACCACGCATGCGCACTTCGCCACCGCCCTGGCTGCGCGCGCATCAGAGTACGAACCAACTTAACGGCTCCGGGAGTTTAAATATAGCCCCCCCAAGCCCCCCAGAAGCCCCCCACCCCAAACGGGCACTCTACTTCCCTTCGTAGCTATGTCCGGCCCTACTGATATCCTTTGTCTCTGCAGCGCGATCCCCGCCTCTGTAGGCGGGGGAGCTGGTGTGAAAAGGTCTCCTTGACACTCGACCCTTGTTCCTGAGGAATGAGTCTCAGCGGTCTCCGCCCGGCTCTAAACCCGACAACCTCCCTACCCCGCCTCCTTCCTCCCCCTAGTGGGTAGCGCGTGCGCACACCCTTTTGGGCTTGCGCGGGTAGCTGCAGCACGTGCTGGAGATGATGCCCCGCCTTCAGTCCTAGGGGCGGGAACTATTACGTCGCTTCCTCAGGTTTGGTATACGCAGCGTGCGTCAGCACGAATCCGAGGGGCGTGGTTTCCCCAGTAAATGAGGCGTGTTCATGAATTATTCATGAGGCGATCGCACACCTCCCTTCAGCCCACCTACTTAGTAGGGCTTCGGAGGGAGTAAAAGGGAAAACATGAAGGAGAGACAGGGGAGAAGTGGAGTGTGCTGACCGTATTCTTACTAACTGTTCTCAGCAAAGTGCGATTATGTCATTTTAACTCAGCTCCCCCCCTCGGAAATATTCTCTGAAGAAAAAAAAACACAACGGAAACAGCCAAGGTTGTCCCAACTTTCCCCGAAAAGGCTCGCTCATTTGCCTTTCTCCAATCGCGATCACCACAGAACACCACGCCTTACTCTCCGCCTCCACATCCACGTACTGACCCCAACGCCTCCGCTCACCACCCGGCGCCTGCGCACGAGGCCCCCGGGCCCACGGACGGCTCGCACGCGGGCCCTCCGGGGGCACCCTGCGACTTCGCACCGCCTTGCATGAAAGCGAGCGTGGGCGGGGAAATGGATTCAGCCCACCTTGGGTCCCTTGCCCCAGCCCTTGGGAAGCCGCGATTCGACGCCGTTTCCCCCGGGTGATGAATGTCCCGGTCTCCCTTTCAACAGTTTTAGAAGTGGATGGTATAAGTGGGAATGGAGGCCCAGGATAGTCTCAAAATTAAAGAGTGCGGAGACTAGAAGGGAGAATAAGTGTGAAAAGCTGACGGAAGAAGCAGTGTGTGGCAAAGAAATGAGTTGGTAAATGTGCTTCAGAACACTCAGGCACTGTTGCTGCCGCCTATTTTAAAAAGTGAAGTCGACGAGGATTATGGGATTTGTAGTTTAGGGTCTTCGTTTGGAAGATGGCCGCGCAGCAGCTGCCTTCCAACTGCGCATGTGCCTTGGTCTTGAGCGCTCCCCTTAGGGGGCGGAGCTTGTGCACGTCCTCGCGCCTTCTCCTCTTGGCGGGAAAAAGTAGGTCGAGGTTGTAGGGGCTTGCAGAGTCACGGCTGCGGCACGCTGTGCTTATCACCTTCAGGTCTTCCTCGCCCCAGAAGGTAGCTGGCTCCTCTCCAGTTGCAGATGAAGGTGCAGGGTGCTGCCAGTTTTGGCACCTGTGTCTGAGGAGAAGGTTTCTCTTCAGGGCGATGACCAACTCTTGCCCCTTCTCCGCAGAACCTCTGAAACTCCAGCTCACCCCCAACAGGCGAAAATGACCAGTCCTGTGGCGGGCACCGGCGGTGTGCAGGAGAGCGAGGCTCCCAGGCCTGGGCGGGAGGGGCGCCCGGGGAACCCGCCCCTGGGGGAGTCTTGGTGGGGAGGGGACCGGCTAGTCGCCGGTCCACCCTCAGGGGAGTCGAGAACCTTTGGCTCTGTCCCTAAGAACTGGTGAGGGGAAAGGGAAAATGGAAGCTCGTCCGCAGTCGGGCTCGACCTCGCGCCCTGTGAGGGGAGGTGGTGCGGCGCCTGGGAGGTCACAGGAGACGTGCTTCTTTAAGCAAAAGCCACCCAAAAGCCCGGTTCGGGGGTTTACGGCTGCGGGGGGGGGGCGGTGTCCCACAGCAGGAACGTGAGGGCCACCAGCCATCGCGCTAGAGAAGCGGCCGACCCCGCTTCTTTGCACCCTCTGAACTAAGAAGCTGTAGTTTACGGTGAATTTATTGATAAGCTGTGAGAAGTTTAGTTCGGGTAGTTGCATCTGAGGGTAAATAACTTGGTGTGGGCATAAGGGTTCCTGGAAACGACTTTTCATCTTGTGAAAAAGCTGAAAATCAGGTTTGAGGAGCGCGCATGCGCCCGAGCCCACCTACGCACAGAATGGACCCTGCTTCCTTTCACGTCTGGAGAATGAGTGCGAACCACGTGCTGCTAGACAGTGATGCCCAGGGGAGCGCAGACTCTTGAGACTTTAAATATAGCCTTTAAATAAGTTCTGAGGCTCACAGAGTCCATGGTAAAGTACAATTCTAAAGGATTTGCTTTTCTTAGACTAATGACTGGAGGAACAATATGAAGAGGGAATCTTAAAGGCGGAATTATTATTTTTTTTAATATTGCCAAGACTAAATTATTTTACTAGGTAAGGTCTTTAACTTTTTGATAGGAGAATTCTTTTGTTCTCAATTTATGGAGGGCTCCAAAGAGTTTTTTATGTAGTTTGTGTCTATTGATGTTAACATATTAGACATTAAAACTCTGAAACATGTAAAATATTTACTTAGAAATAACTCATAAACTCGCTATATAATATTTTTGGGAAAAATGCATTTTCCTAAACAGAAGACATTTTAGTGGGAAGAGTGGCATTGTTTATATTTTCACAAACCTCATGTCTGCTTAGTAGAAAACAGCCAGATTCTCATCTGTTTCAATCTGTTGTAATATCTTGTTTTAGTATAAGTGTATGAGAAAGCCAGGCGTGGCTCAGGAGGCTGAGCCTGGCAACTTCAAAACCAGCCTCAGCAACTTAGGGAGATCCTGTCTCAAAAGATAAAAAGGGCTGGGGATGTGGCTTAGTGGTAAAGTTCAATCCAAAGTAAAAAAAAAAAAAAAATAGTATATGAGAAAAAAATGCAGCTTAACACAAATAATTAGTTGGAAAAGGAAAGAATCCTCAGGGATTTTGGACTACATTTTGAGGATGCAGTCTGGGCTGGATAATTTTATCTCAGTATTAATTATGATTTTTTAGTGTTTTATTTTTCTTCTTGGGATTGAACCCAGGGGCACAACCACTAAGCCACATTCCCAGCCCCCTGGTCGCCCCACCTTTAAAAAAACATTATTCAGAGACAGGGTCTCTACTAAGTTGCTGAGATTGGCTTTGAACTCCTGGTCCTCCTGCTTCAGCCTCCCAAGTCACTGGGATTACAGGCATATGTCACCACACCTGATTTTATTTTATTATCTTGTTCTAAGTTCTTTTAGTTCTTTTTCCCTTCTCTACTCTTTTTGTCCCCCATGTGCTGGGAATTAAACCCTTGCTAGTGCTAGGCAAATGCTCTACCACTGAAGTAAATCCCTGGCCCCTACCCTCCTTTCTTAGGTTGAGTGAGTGGGATACAGTTTATGGGATTTTCTGGTAATTTTACTTCCTATGGTAAAGGTTTTGGGACTGTCTCTGTGTCTTTATTGTCAGCTTCATCTCTCCTTCCCTATCTCCTTTTCATCTAAGGTAAGAAAAAAGAGAAATGCTAATCCTGGATCTAGAGTCCTTAGTCTGTTCAGAAGAAAGTTGGTGATGTTTTCTATATTTATGAGCTATGATTTCTTTTTTTCTCTCTGAACCAGATTTCAATATTTGTTATTGTAGAAAGAAGGAAATTAATCTGAAACAGGGAGCAGAAACTTGAGTTGTCACTTCTTTGCTTTCTCTTCTCTGTGGGTCAGGCTAGAACTCTTGTTTAAAAGTAATGGTCTTCATCATATTTCTCCTTAGATTAAGGGGACCTTTAAGCATCACAACTTATAGATTTGCTATGTCTTGTTAATTTAATAATAATACACAATTCTATCCAGTTGCTTGGAGTTTCAGAAACACTTTGGCCTAGAAAGGTCTGTGTAGGTTTAGATAAGGATTTGAACCTAAATATTAGAAAAGTTTGTATTTTTACATTGGTCAAAGTATTCTTTTTATTACATTTGAAGAATTTAAAATAAAAAATATATTTTTCATTGGTGTATTACAGTTGTATATAATAATGGGATTTTTTTACATATTTGTACATGCACATGGCATAAGAGTATAATTTGGCCAATATTATTCCCCAGTATTCCCCTCCTTCCTCTGATCCCTTTCCTCTACTGATTTCCCTTTGATTTTCATGAGATTCCCTGACTTTTCTAAAAGTTAATTTTGTAATTGGTAATATGTATGTTATAAAATTCAGAAATAATGCAGTATCATGAAAAGCTTCCTTTCATTCTCATCCACCCAGATCTACTGCCCAGAGGCATTTTGATCAATTTTTTATATATTCTTCCAGAGAAAGTTTATGGATAAACAAGCATATTATGTAGACATACATTTTGAATAACCAAACATCATCTTAAAAACATTAATTTTCATTCTACTTTTCCTCCCTCAGTACAGCTGTTACAATTTAAATTATCTTCATGGGTACTTTTCATGAGATTTTTCAAAATTCTGGAGTCTAGGAGAAGATATGTTTGTCATTTATGGTCACATTTTCATTTGTGGTCAGATGTTCCTTTTGCAGCTTAGTAAAGTTTCTAGCTTTTACTGAAGATCATATTAAAGAAAGAGAACAATTTGCTTCAGCGTTTCTCCCCCAAATTTCTACTTGCCTTTTTTTTCCCCCAGAGAAATTATGTCTGGGAATTGGTGGTGATGAGTTAAGATGGACACAGTGAGGAAATGTGCTCCTTAATATAAGGGAAAACTAGTTACTTCAGAAAACCATATCTGAATTGTTCACATTTATGAAATTAAGAAAAGGAACAGAAAAATATCAAAGGATAATTTAAAAATACTTTGCATGTAGCCACGAGGAGTGCATGCTAATCAAGCCCCCAATACCTTTTGAGTTCACCTTCTGATCTAGATGGTGGAACTCTAACTTGAACAAGTTTGGCATTTGAGTATCTTAAAATCTTCAGATTCTTTAACCAGAAGTGTCTAGGAACCAAAAAGACTATTTTATGTTGCCTTTATGTCTCTTTGTGGTGGGAGATTAAGTAGTTAGAAGAACTGAGTGTCAGTTCCAGGGTCTTCAAAATTCAAAACCAACAGCCAGAAACAAGATCACTAAGTAGAATGGATGTGTTTTTAGGATTTAGAAGCAAAAGTCTGGGTTGGTCTGGGTTCTAATATGTATTAAGACTAAGACTTTGGGCAAACCATTTACCTCACGTTGTGTATTTTTCTTCTGTAAAAAGAGGAGCTGAGACTTTATGCCTCTAAAGCCCTCCTAGAGCTATATTGTTTGTTACAGTCACCAAAATCAGGAGGCTGGGATGTCATTGGGCTAATGCTTGCCTAGCATGCTCCAAGCCTTGAGTTCAATCCCCAGCACTGAAAAAAAAAATGGTGTGTATGCTTTAAGCCTATGTGTTTTAACATGTATTCTTACGTATGCTTTCTGTATGTTGTGTTAAAATGATGGTGAAACATTGCATTAGACTATTGGGTTTCAGCACAGCTCAGTTAACAGCACCAACTTTGACAGACATGTTCTGATTCTGGTTTTATGGTTTATTAATTCTTCAATATCTCTAAATTTTGTAAGCTGCAGTTTCTTCACATATAAAATGGTATCTAAGATTTGTTGTGAGAATTAAATGAGATAATATATAAAAGGTAAAGAAAATAGTGTTGAATATATGTTAACCATTTATCATTAATTGCAGTATCAATAGTAAGAATGAAGCACATTTAGAACCCCTCTGAATAGATTGATGAATAGCTATGAATATCAAAGAAGGTGCTGAAAGTTCTTATTACTAGGTTTTAAGTAGAAGAGTAAGATAGAAGGTTCAGTTCTCTGAAGACTTCTGCTGGTTTATGAATATTTCTGAGCTATAAACAGACATTGATAGAGTCCAGTATTTGGGAAAACATTGGCCTTAGGATCTAAGTAAATGGAAAGCAAACATTACAATGATGTCAAAAAGGGGATTCTCTATGCATAAGAGAATTGCCAAATTATTGGTATTCGAAGTATGTAGTGGAACTTCAGGAAATGGAGAAAAGTGCTCACTCTTGAACTCCCAGGACTGTCCAAGCCCTACAAACACTACTTGTACTAATGCTTCCACCACTGCCACTCCTATGGCTACCTAGTATGAGTGCCCACCTTACATAAAACATGGTTCTAGGTACTAAAAATACTAAGGATTTTTGCTCATATTTAAAACAGTAATTCTCGTTATTCCCTGGTATGTAATTGGTACTGATGAATTGGGGAGAAGTACTGTCAAAAAAGCAGAAATGTAGTCAAGATTCCCAAGCAAATAGATATTAAACTCAAGAAAACAGGGAGAGGAAAAAGTAATCAGGGTCCAGGGTTTTAGCTCATTGGTGGAGTACTTGCCAAGTGTGTGTGGGCACTGGGTTTGTTTCTCAGTACTACATAATAATAAAATAATAAAGGTATTGTGTCCATCTACAACTAAAAGAAGAATATTTTTTAAGTGATCAGAATCATCGTTCATTTCTTTTTTCTAACAGAGGCAAAGAAAGCTGTGTTTCTCAGCTGAATGATGACAACATTGCAGAAGAAAGAAGGTGAGCCAAGAATGAGGGAGGTTCACTTTATATATTTATCTCATTTTCTGTTTCTGAACATCCTTCCCACCAAAGGGCAGTTCAGTTCATATATATTTTCTGTTCACTCTGTTCAAATTTCTACTCTGAAAGATACTTTGAGCAGAAATAAATATGATTTCTGAACTCATAGGGAGAAGAAAGACATTTAAACATCTATAACATAAAGTTAAATGTGGTAAGTGCTATCTGAGAGGTGCAAAGTATTATAAAGGCTCAGAAGAAAGAGATATTACTTATTCCAGAGAGGATCAGTGTAATTTCATGGATGAGGTAGCATAAGATTGGCCCTTGAATAGTTTGTAGATTTTGGCTAGTGCTTTGAAGCTAAATTCTCAAAAAATTTTATTCAAAATTAAGCAAATTTTTAAAAATTTACACTTGAATACTCAGATTTCTATATGCCTATATTTTTATCACCTTTGAATTGGTTCCCAAACCAATTTGGGACTGTGCCAGAATCAACTAGTCTTATAAAATTATAGATTTCTGGGCCTCACTTCAGTCTACTTCATCATAATCTGAGGGGGGCGGGTGATGTGGAACAGGCAGGGACAGACCTAGGAATCTGAATTTATTTAAAATTCTCCCCATATAATTCTCATGTGGCTAGTAAAGAGACAGTGTTCAGCAATGTCTGTTAGACTGTTTCATAAATTCCATTTGATCAATTTCAGAATGTGGGAAGGGATCAAAGAAACCCTTTGCCCCACCTACACAAAAATTGCATAGCATGAGACCGCATGGCCCCAACTCACACAGAGACGAGACCCTGGGGATCAGTTCTCCAGTGGCAGAAGCCAAGGCAAGCCCACCAAAAGCCAGGTTAGAGAAGGAGGAAAAGGCAACTACAGAGGATGGTCCAGGGGTTGGTCAGGAGAAAAAAGGAAAGGCTCAAGACAAGCCAGCAGAGAAGAAGGAAAAGGTATGAGTCACATTAATGAACTCTCATAGGAAGGTTCCTCCTACACTGCCCCCAGCCCCTGGGGCTAGACAAACAATCTTTTCATGTTGGGGAACTTCATCCTGTAGTTACATTATTATATTTGTGGTTTTTATTTTTTTAACTTCTGTTTTCTTCCCTAAGAGGCAAAAAGATATTTTGATGAAAGCATTTGATGAAATAATAGAATGAGGTAGGTTAGAGGTGGGAGTAGAAGTAGACAGAAATATTATAAACATTTCTCTTTTCTTCTACTCCTTTATTCCCAGGACATCTGGGATAAAGTTTATGAACTCCTTAGGTATGTTGACTTCATACCTTCAGTCCTGTGAACTTAACTGCCTCATCTAAAGGAGGCTTTCCTGACTGGCCAGAGGAAAGAACTATGAAAAGATAAGCAGTTTTCCCTTCTTACCCTCATCTCTGCAGGGAAAATCAAGTCTTACCAATGCAGAATTTGAAGAGATTGTCCAGATTGTGCTTCAGAAGTCCCTTCAGGAGTGCTTGGGTATGGCTTGTGGTAAGAGAAAAAAGGTTTCAGTTAGGTAAAGTGACTTATCTGAGAAGTAGTGTAAGTTTGACATATTTTCTTCTCTTTCTTCCTCATAAGTAAAGAAACATTAGACAAGACTTTGAAATACTTAATTCCTTATCAATAGGACCATGGCTAACCCACCTAAGATAAAAGGTACAGACCTTTAGAAAAGTGGATTACATTTGATTTCAGAATATAGTCTTAAACTAAAAAAAAAAAAAAAAAAATTGGGGGTGCAGGCAAAACTGGGAATTGAACCCAGGACCACTCTATTGAGCTACATCTTTAGCCCATTTTATTTTTATTTTGAGACAATGTCTTGCTGTGTTGCCCAAGCTGGCCTCAAACTTATGATCCTCTTGCTTCAGTCTCCCCAGTAGTTGGGGATTACATGCAGCACCATCATGCCCATCTCACCTACATTTTTAAAATGCTCTTTTTTATAATATTTTAAACTGCAATTTTAATTCATTTCTATATGTTTACAGTCTACTTAGGAAAGAAAAATTATTTTCCCAGATTTGAAGAATTTAGTCTCCATCTATCCTTGTATATTTCTGTTTTTAATGTTTTAACATCTTCTTAGGGTTTTGGTTTTTAGAAGAAAGAACTCTATAGTATAGGCCCCAGGGCCTTCTCCATAAAGTTTGAGGCTAAGGAGAATGGTCTGACACTTCAGCCATTCTCAGGTATACTTCTGTTCCTAGAAGGGGTTTGAGGAAAAGATAATTTGTGTGTGTGTGTGTGTGTGTGTATTATTTTCACATATACAAAATAAAGTTATAATTATCTAGCTGTCCTGGAGTGAATCAGATCAGTCTGGAAAGGCTTGAAGAAAGATACAGATTTCTAGTTTTTTTTTTTTTTTTTCCTGAAAATTTAAAGATTTAGGTTTTATCATATGACAAGTAGCTAAAGGTAAACTCTTCTAGGCACAGGAAAGAGACAAATGTTATGGTTAGTAAATATTGAGTGATTGTTTTATCACTTCTCTGCTTATAATAATCTGTTTTGGGAGGGATGGGATCTGGTCTTAATTTTGCAGAGACTTCCTGTGTTCAGACCAATTCCCAGTCAGACAAAGAACCAGGCATTGCTTCTGCTACTGATAATGATAACGCTGTTGGGTAAGTTTATCCCAGGGAGGCAAGTTAAACATGGGGAATTAACATTGGGAAATGGTGATTTATCTATATATCTAGTCATTTATGGTGTTTCTACTGATTATAGGCATGCACCACCATGCTCATCTCACCTAAATTTTTAAAATGTACTTTTATAATATTTTAAAATGTAATTAAAAATTATATAATTTTATTTCTACTGATTTCTCTCAGCTAAGGAAAGAAACCTCTTTCAGCTGAGGAAAAAAATAAGCAAGTAGACGAGTAAAATGACCTCAGGTGGCTTTAATGGACGTAGGATTGGTATTTTTTTCCTTGTTCATTCTAATTGTGTGCTGTACCACCAAGCATACCCTTACCCCCAAATCTAGAAATCTTTTATCTTTCTTTCACCTTTGAGGTCTTTCAAAAGTTGCTCCTTTTGACTTTTTCATTTGAAAATATCATTTTCAGAGAGAGGAAAATGATACCTCATACTCCAGAGACTTCAGCCTCTGTAGAAGATGTCCCAGAGATAAGAACATCTAAATCAGCCCAACTGGTTCCTGCACCTTCTGAGAAGAAATTTAATAGACTTTCCTTAAGCAAAAGAAAGAGGGAAGCTCGTAAGTGTAGTCAGATACAATTTGACTCCTGACTTAGATACTTAGAGAGAATGGGACAGTTAATAGGCTGAGAATTTTCAGTCCAAGTCTTGAAATTATTGGGCTTTGATTGCTCTTTTTCACTGACCTTTTCTATCTACAAAGATTCTTTTCTTCACCTCCTCACCTCATAATGTTTTGTTTTACCTTCCCAGAAGATGAAAAAATGGAGAAAGTTCAAGGTGGACATGAGTGCAGAGAGAAAGACCAACCAGAGAAAATGATTCAGGGTGATTCTCAGATCAGGGGTCAGCAAAAAGGGGAAGAAAGTGGTTTTGGTGAGTTTATTCAAAGTTTATCACTTGGTTTGGCAAGCCCACCTGGGCTGAATATTCAAAATGGAGGAGAGAGACAAGGATTAGAATGTTAGAGGAAACTGCAAAGACTCTAACTTTCACAGTTGCTTGTTAAAGAATATGCTGCTGAGGAAGAGAAAGATTCCATTCATTCAGTCATTTATTCACATAATCCTTACGTACCAGGCATTTTAGATAGTACCCAGGCAGAAAACTAAGATGTGGTCAGAAAGGTAGAAGAAAAATTATGAGAGTGGTATCACAGATATCAGAGGAGGAAAGAATTTGAAGAAAGAGGGAGTGCTTAGTCATGTCAAATGCTACCATGGAGAAGCCAAAGAGGGTAAATATTTGAAAATGCTCAAGGATATCACAGTTAGGAAGCCATTAGGGTTTGATAATAGTTATCATATGGATTGGTAAGGGTGTATGGATGGTTATAGTTAGTTGCAGAGTAAACACTTTTTAGTTAGTATACATGTGAAAATTAAGAGGGAGAAAATGGACAGAGTGGGAGAGTTGTGGGAGGGATATTCAGTTTATAACTTTCTTCTATCTATCCATCTATCCATCCATCTATTCATCTATGAATAACAAATGAGACAGGGTCTTCCTGTGTTGCCCAGGCTGATCTCAGACTCCTGAGCTCAAGTGATCCACCTGCTTCAGCCTTCCCAAGTACTGGGATTATAGACATGTGCCACCATGCCTAGCATTATCTTTTAAAAGAGAGACTTGATCATATTTATATGTTGAGGGAAATTTATTTATAGAGGGGGATAAATTGAGATAGGAATGGGAAGAGATTCAAGGAATTTGTCCTTCACCAGGAAGGACACCTTAGCCTTTGAGATGGGTTGAAGGCAGAGTCACAATGAATATGGATTTATTTATTTTTATGAATTTTTTTTGTGCTGGGGATTGAACCCAGGGCTTTGCATATGCTAAATATGCACTCTACCACTGAACTATATCCTCAACTTATTTGTTTTCTTAACTACACTTATTAGTGTGTTAATTGTGTGCTATGTACATTAGGAGCTAGAAATACAGTGATGAATAAATTTGATAGCTCTTATTCATAGAATTACAGTTTTTGTGTGTTAGATAATAAAAAGTATAATATGAAATAATCAAGGTGACATTTAGATATTTATGACAAGAAATAAAACAGATCATACAATATATTAGTAGGTTCAAAAATTCAGACATAAATAGCTAATACTTTGGGAGAAAACAGGCTTGTACAAAAACCCCCAAAATAATAGAAAACAAAATCCAAAGTATAAGGATTGGTATAGTAAAAAGTCAGGTGGTATCTAATATGTATGTGTGTATGTACATTGTTTTGATTGTAAAAGCGTAATAGAATTTGCACAAACTTGGAAAAAAACTCTAGAAAGACTATGCGGGTACCAACAAGAAAGATAGTCCAGATTAGTGAACCATTCCTCTAATTACAATGACATGGTAGCAATAAGGATCTGGAAGTATGATCTAATTGGATGGTCAGGTGGTCTGAAACTCAGATCACCACAAGGGAGTGTTCTAGGTAGGTTTGTTTCTTGAAAAGAGAACTTAAAGAGTTTTTTTTTTCTTTTGGTTTTATTCGAACAGATAAACTTAGATGTACCTGTTAAGAACTATTCTTGGTATACTGTAGACCCTGTTGACCTGCTCTCCAGTTCTTCCAAATAAACCAGTGTCATTAGGTTTATGTGGCTCCCTCTTCTATACTCATTACCACCAGGATAGGATTTTAGATTCACAGATATGAGTTCGTTCCCTAGGTGGCGCCTGTGAGTTGAATTATGATTGTAGTGAATTTGTCAGCCTCTTGCTGTAAGTGAACCATTCCTTCTGTTTCTTACAATTGCCAAGGAAAGGAGTCTTCTGGAGAAGAAAGTAGAAAGGGGTGAATCCCCTAAATACAATTTTCACTAAATATTGTGAAGGAAAAGAAGAGTGTCACTAGGAAATGATGGAGACCTAAGGAAGATTGGGATAGTCAGGGAATTTCATAGGAAATTATATTTCAGATGTAACCTGAAAAAAAAAAAAGAAGTTATTCAAGTGAAGAGTAGAATAAAGTTTTAGGTAGGGTAAGTTTTGTCATATTCCCAGTACCAAAAAAAAATATGATTGGAGTTCAGAGAGCAAGGGAGGGAAGTGGGAAAGTGCCTTAGGAAAAATGGAAAGAACTAGGCAGTGGTTAGATCAATGACCTTGACCGTGCTATAGTGAAATTTTTATACTTTAGTGCAGTGTGTCATTCTTAATTTCTTTTTTTATGTGCATGATACTGGGGAATAGAATCCAGACCCTTGCACATGCTAGGCAAGTGCTATACCACTGAGCTATGTCCATAGCCCTTTTTAAAATCTCACTTTGAGTCAAGGTCTTACTAAATTGCTTAAGCTGGTCTTGAACTTGTGATCCTCTTGGCTCAACCTTCTGAGTAGTTGGGATTACAGGTGTACATCACCATGCCTGGCCAAATTAATGTTTAAAATGATCCTTTAGTGATAAATTAGTGGTTGAAATATGGGGAAAAGAAGGAGGAGTCAACCAATTACTAGCATGGCTGGGATTAGGATGATAAAAATGGAGAGAGAGAAAGAAATAGATAGTTTTATGATAAGTTTTAGAGATAAAATTGTGACAACTTGGTAATGAATTGGATATTGGGGATAGGAAGAGAGGAAAGGTTCTGTCAAAGATGTTTGGTTTTTGGCTTAAGCAGTTATGTAAAAAAAAGTGATAAGAGTGGAAGAACAACACATTTGTGGGATAAGATTCAAGTTTAGGTGTACTAAACTTGAGATCTTTGTGAAACTTCCAAATAAAAGTATCAGGGTTAGGGATGTAGTCCAATGGAAGTGTATGTACACATGGCCAAGTTCAGTTCTCAGCAGAACACACACACACACACTGCCAAAAGACAAGGTGGAATCTGTAATTCGGGTATGGAAATGGATTTCAAAGATATGGGAATGGATGAGCTTGTCTAGGGGAAAGTATAGTGTGGGGAAAGAAAGCCCATGATTGGGCTTTGGAACTGTGACATTTAAAGATTGGATGGAGAATGAGGAGAATCCAGCAAAGGAAACTGAGGAGGAAGCTGTCTGAAAGATGAGGGGAGGGGACAGGAGAATGAGGTAACACAGAACTCAGGATGCTAGTGTTTATGGAATGAATGGCCAATTGAAATGCTGTTAATGTGTGTCTGTGACATCAGTCTTCATTATCCTGGAACCACATATGATGAACATCAGTTTTTCAGAGCACATTGTCTTTTCCTTTCAGTTGTTTGAACAGAAACTTTAAAAAATTGCTGTCATTGGATATTTCATCCCAAGCCATAAATATCCAATTTTATATCATTAGAGTGGTTTCTTTCCATTCATTTTCTTGTGAATAATTATCGCTTTCACACGAGAGAGTGAATTTACCAGAGGAACATAATGGTTGGTGATATGAATTGTGAAAATATAGTGATACCTATGTGCCTGGTTTTTCTCTAGCAACTTTCAGTTTCAGGAGTGTAAGCACAGAAAAGGTAGAAACTGGGTTCATTCAAGGTGGTGTTTTGTCATGGGTGGAAGAAAGGACAGATAAAAAGGCAGCTGAAGATGTCTGCAAGAGAGTCTAAGGAAGTGTTAGAGAACCAAAGGTGATTGGTTCAGAGTGAAGAACAGAGGTTGTTACCAAGCAGAGAAGATGGGAGGAGATAGTGGATTGAGAAAGTTGCTATAGGGCTCATTGAATAGGTGAGGTAGGAGAGGACAGGGCTTTTTTTTTTTTTTTTAGTTTTAGGTGGACACAATATCTTTATTTTACATTTATGTGGTGCTGAGGATCGAGCCCAGTGCCTTGTGCATGCCAGGCGAGCACTCTACCACTGAGCCACAACTCCAGCCCAGACGGGGCTTTTTATTTTTTTTTGGTCAGAGAAGATATTTGAATAAATGGATCAAAGGGTTTACGATTCCCGTAGATGGCTGGTTGGGGCATGTGGAAGTGGGAGTGGATTACTGAGGTGGCATGGGGGAAAAATTTAAGGAACTGAGAGAATGGGGGTTTTTGGGGTGGTTTTCCTGTGGTCATCTGGACTGAAGTCTAGAAATGGAAGAAAATAAGACAGCTGGATGCCAGCATATTTACAGGGGAGATGGAAGGATGATAGAACTTCAAAGGAAGAAGAGATTTAAATATAGTAGCAATGGGAGTAAGGATGATGCTGGCGCAACATTCTGTCCTGAGAGACATGGACAGTGTGAGAAGGGACAGAATCCACTTAGAGGGCTGGGGTAGAGGTCAGGTTGAGTGTCATTAGTATGTCTTCAGGCTTCATAAAGGAGGCAGAGGCTCAGAGGTTAAGTATATGTGAACATTTGTTGCTCAAGTCTGGAATTTCAAAGGACACTGTGGAAGAGTTTGGGAGGGGAAGTGTGTGGGACATGAAGTCAAGATGTGGGGATACAGAGGTTGAGATGGGAATTTAGAAGGTAATGGATAAATGGAGGCTTGGCCTTTGGGGCCCAAAGCAAATGGGAGAGAAGTGCTAGACTTAGATCAGTGTCTTTGGGAGGAGGGTGAACCCAGGGCTGTTGGTCTTAGAGGTTTCAATTTGGTGATTTGGTAACAGGTAAATCAGTTGAGATTCAGATAAGAACTGTATATTGAGCACAAGGGAGGCTGGTTAGCCCTTCAAAAGAACCTTTCAGGAGTGTCATACAACAGAGAATGAAGCACTCTCAGGAAAAATACCAGGCAACTTTTTTTTGATGGGGGCAGTGTTGGGGATTGGACTCAGGGCCCAACACATGCTATGCCAGCACTCTACCACTGAGCTATACCCGCATCCCTAAGGCAATCTTTTTATCTAAGAACTATTAATACAGGAAACTATCCTTCTGCTTGCTTGAATTCCGAGTTTTAATTTAGTCTGATCTTCAGCAAATAATTATCTTCTCTGAGCATTGGTTTTCCCAGTCATAGGGCAGGGATTGGATTAGTTGATACGTAAGATTTATATAGAGATGTGATTCTGGGGGAGTGGGAAAGTTATATTGATTTTTAGTTGGATTGAAGAAGGAATAACCTATTTTTGAGTCTTTTATGAAAGTTTTTTTTCTTGTCACAGGTCAATGTTTAGTTTGGGTCCAGTGTTCCTCTCCAAACTGTGAGAAATGGAGGCGGCTGCGTGGGAACATTGATCCTTCAATTCTCCCAGATAATTGGTCTTGTGACCAGAATACAGGTAGAAAAAAGTAGAATTTTTTTTTCAGGTTTTATCGTTCTTCCTTCTTTCCTGATATATATTCCTTAGATTAACTATGACATAGGTGTATTTTACACTCAAGGGGTCCTTGTAGTGACTGGGAGAAAGGAGCTTCTTATTCTGTGGAGATGACTGTGGGCATAAATAGTGGGAGCAAGACATCCTGTAGAGTTACACGAAGAAAGGGCCTGGAATTCTGAATATATGTATTGTGTGAATTTCATTTTCTTCAGTATTGGTCTGATCCTCTCAATCCTGATTAGAATATTGGGCTGGTAGATAGCAAGGGATATGGGATTTATAGGGGAAAGCAGGTGAGAAAGACCCAATGATCTTAGAATTATAGAATGTTTGAAACTACTTTGAAGAAATAATGATGATCTTGTCTAGCTCAGTTATTTTACATATGAGAAAATAGTCTCAGAGAAATTACTCTCATACTGCTCCAAGGATGGGAACAGAGTCACACCAGGGTTTGTAAGTGGGAGTTTGGAATCTCTATAGAGTATCAGGAGGTAGCACTCCTACTTCTCCTGGCTCAGGCTGCATTTCTTCCATGGGTCTCTATTCTTTTCCTCCAGGTGCTACTTTTGTTCTGCCTGCTTCCTATACTACTTCCTTCTTGTTCTCTCATAACCTGCATCTAGATTTCTACCTCATGAGTGTCTTCCTATCCCTTCATTCCTCTCTCTCTTGACAGACTTGGATTATAATCGCTGTGATATTCCTGAGGAGATCTGGACAGGGCGTGAGAGTGATGTGGCCTATGCCTCCTATGTCCCAGGATCCATCATCTGGGCCAAGCAGTATGGTTACCCCTGGTAGGGCACCATGATAAAGAGAAAACATCCATCCTGAGCTTGGGAGTGGTAGATTCAAGCAGGGAGGGAAAGAAATGGCAGACATTTGTAATGGGAACATTACTTGCCTTAGAAAGAACAAGGTCTTTCTAAGGTTTCTCAAAGTTAAGGTCTCACTTAAGTTAGACTGATCTTTAGCAAGTAATTATTTTCTCTGAGCATTGTTTTTCCCAGTCATAGGTTGGGGAATCATGAGGTGAGGGAGAAGACAAAATATCAAGCTTGAGGGTTTTGAAAGAGCGTGTTTTCTTGAGGTTTCAGGAAGAAAGGTCTGGCAATGCTGCCATAACTGGGTAGAAAATGGAGGGGGGATCCAAGGCATTTTAAAATATTGAGTTGTGAGAACATGCAAAGTGAAGAGAATGAGGAAGATTAGGATAGTTTCTTCCTTAGAGATTTTTGTACTCAGGGTTGTGGGAATGTGCATAAGAGTAAGACAACTCTACTAGGAAGACTCTGACCTTCTTTGTACATTGATGGAAGTCACTTTAGTCATTTGAAAGTGACCACTGGAGGGGACTAATGAGGGACCTTTTGGATCCTTTGTTCACTAAATGTATTGCCTTTTTCTGTACATGTATATTGATTAGCTTGTGTTCTGTTTATCTTATGTCTTGTCTTGTATCCCCTATGCCTGTCTCTCTTCCCCAGGTGGCCAGGCATGGTCGAATCTGATCCTGACCTGGGGGAATATTTTCTCTTTGCTTCTCATCTTGATTCTCTGCCGGTGAGTAATAAACAAGCATATCCATCCTAAAAGATATTTAGAGTTGGAAACATAGATTTAGGCAGCAGACTTGAGTGCAAAAAAGACCTTAATTAGAGCTAGAAATATGGAGGTAAGTTCTCACCCCTAGAAATAAACTTGTGTTTAATTAAATCTTTACCCACTTGTAGGGCATTTATGTTTTGATAAAGATGCTTTGACTAGAATTCCTGAGGTCAAAATGGAGGAATAGTGGGATGAGGTGGAGTAGGGGATTCAGACTTCAGGGAACATATGAAGCGCAACACCTTCTTTGTAAGTCCCCTTATCTTTCTCCACTACTTGTGGCAAGAGGAGAAAAGTAGATAGGACAAGAGCCAAACAGACTATCTTTTATTACAGTCTAAATACCACGTGACATTTTTTGGAGAAACAGTTTCTCGTGCTTGGATCCCAGTCAACATGCTGAAGAATTTCCAGGAGCTGTCCCTGGAGCTAGCAGGAGTGGTGAGCAAACCCGTGTGGAACCGCGGGGTGGGGGTGTCTCTTGTGATACAAGGAACTGGAAGACAAAAATGCTCCCAGGGGAAACTGTCTGGAGATGGTCTTTGGTCTGATCAGTTATGCCAAGGGTAAAATTATGCACGAGGCACTCTTCTTTTTGCTGGGTTGCAGTAAGGTAACAATTTTTTTCAGTCTCCTTCCCTGCTTGCAGATAGTGGATCTTCCTGAAGATGAAGGTACTCTACAGTTGAGCCAAATCAGGACTGACAGACATGAGGGCCCAGATTAATTTAGGATTTACCGTTCTCAGTGCTGTGGACATTTTGGATCAGATAATCTTTTGTTGTGGAGGGCTGTCCTGTGCACTATAGAATGTTTATCAACATCCCTGGGGTCTTCTGGCATCTAGCCCTGCCCCTGACCCTGCTTCTAGTCATGACAAACGAAAAATTGTCTCCAGACATTGCCAAATGTCTCTGGGGCACAAAGCCTTTCTGGGTTAAGTATGTCATATTTCCTTCTTAGAGTTACTTTGTGTCCAGTGGCTATAAGATGAGCAAAGGCCCAGCAATTCAGGGGTCTTAGAAAAGGAAACAGAATTAAATCAAACAGTTGTATCTAAAGAAACTTGTGAGAAGCTTAAAAGTAAGATCACCTAAACTCCTTTGGTTTTTTAAAAATTACCATTAGATTCACTTTGGAGACCAAAATGTCAATTGAAAAATTTTCTAGGAATTGGTGAGAGGTTTATTAGAAGGAAGAGGAGTGCTGTTTCTGAGTGCAGAAGACTGAGAACAGAGGAGTGTTATATCAATAATTGGAAACAAATAGTTAAAATAATGTCTGGTGGGTTGCAGCATGTTGGGATCACTTCTCTAATATTTATTATTGACTGATCTTTAAAGCAGTATCTATTATTGACTGTAATCTTCTTCCATTTCAGAAAAAGTGCAGGAATAAGGACTACAGTCAGAAACTGGTGGCAGCCATCATGATGGCTCAGAAGGCAGAACAGATCCACATTGGGGTGGGAGAGTGTTCAGATCACATACTTGCTTTTATTTGGGACTTAGACACAAAGAAAACCATACTCCCCACTGCATTCCATAGTTGTTATCTTAGAACTGCTCTTTTTTCTGAGACCAGATTCCCTTGATTCCTGAAGTCATCCGTTTCTTCCCATGTCCTTGAACAAATGGGATCTTCTCTCAGCCTAAAGAGACACAGTTTGTGGTAGGGGTCATCCTACCTCCCTATTTAACTTCAAGTCTCAGATATTTGTACCCTAATCTCTTTTAATCTGAGAGTTTTTCAGTCTCAGATTCTGCCCGTGGGGGTAAGGGTGGGGTTGAGAATGACGAACTGAATTTCTCTTTCCCTGTTACTTGTTGAATTATGAATAAACTGGGAAAATAGATTATAGTTAATCTCTATAAAAGTCCAGATAGGCCTAATATAATATTTCAAGTGAAAATGGTGTGGAAAATGAATACAAATTTTGTCAGAACTAAAATTTAGAAGACAGAGGGCAAAGGCTCCCTCAGGAAGATAGTGGATGATGTTTTTGTTTCTTGGTTCCCTCAGGAGCGGGTCAACTTATTTGGTTTCTGGAGTCGTTACAGTGGATCTGACAGCAATGGGAATGGAAAAGGTAGAAGTGGAGGGGGAGGCTGAAGAGGAAGAGGAGAGACTCTTCCATGAAAGTGGCAGCTCAAGCTTGGTTCTGGATTCTGTAAAAGGAGACTCTTGTGAATTTCATTGATCCAGTATTCAGGATGGATCGACAGATGGATGGAGAGAAGAATGGGGAAAAAGAGGGTGAAAAGAGAATGTAGATGGATAGTAATGAGCTTTGAAGAGGGTGGAATCATGATATTTGGGAACTAATTTTATGAGGAAAATATCATTTGGACACAGAAGGCAGAGTTAGAAGATGGATTCTCTGGCATCAGCTTCATAATTCACCAACTTTTTTTGTAAAAATTATTTAGCCTTTCTTTTCTTTTCCTGTTCTAGACCTAATACTTTCTGGGGCTAATAGCCCAGAGTCCTACTTGGAAAAAGAAGAGGAAGAATCAGAGATAGAGGAGGAGAAAGAAGAGAAGAGAGTAAGATTAGCTTTAAATATTGATTAGATCAGGATCGCCTTTTAGGAGAGTCCTGTAAGGAACTGGTTGTGGTGGGTTTACATTTGCTATTATCCATTTCATTTCTGTCTCAGGGAAGACCAGCTGGCTGGTCTTATGTCCTAGAGGTCTCCACCAAAGGAGGCTCTCTGCAATCCTCCTTGTTCCCTCAATTTCTCACATCTCTAGAACATTTTTTTTATTAAAATCTCAATTTATACCATATTTCTGTGGTCCTTTCTGGAGCAATTTGAGAGAAGAGTAGATTGCTTTTCTACTCTTTTCTTTCCTCTGTGGACCCTTAGGATATTCATTCACTCAGTTACTTAGCATCTCTTATTCAGGAATATGAAATATAGATTTTTCACTTTCTCTTTTAATTATTTTTAATTTTTAATTTATCAGCTTTTATCATGCTTGTGACCTAGCTTTATTTCCTTCTTTTATGCATTAAAACCTTGCATTGACTAATACCAAACAAAATGGGAAGGTGACCGTTGATTCCCTAAAACCCACCCGCTATTCTACAACATCCCTGTCTATTAAGACAGTTATATGACTGAATTTATCCTTTTTTTCCCCTGTTCTATTCACAGGATCCAACTTTGCCTGGACCAAAGCCAACCAAAACACATTCAAAAATGCCCAAGGCAAGACGTAAGCAAGCCTGCTGGAAAGGGGCTGCGTCTCACAGTTAAGGCAGGGCAGAAGCAGAGAGTATTAGGAGTCTTCAGGTAGCTGGGTCCATCTATCTCAGCTCCAAGACCTGAAAACACAGGCAGGACTAGCTGATTGTATCAGGGAAGAAACTGTAGGTTCCTCATTTCTGTGTTTTATAAAATGTTAGGTTAAAGATGGGAGGTTTTAAATTCTTAGCCAATAAGGATGGCTTCCTAGAGAAGGCCGACTCTCAGGAGAACAGTGAAGAGAAGGAGAAGATGGGGGGGGGGGACGGAATGTAAAAAAAAAAAAAAAAAAACCCAAGCTGGATGGGGAACTGGAAGCCACTGAGAGAGCTCACTAGATTGAGAATGAGCAGAAGATGTGGAGCAAGGCTAAATGTGGGGAGACAGTCTGCCCTTTCCAAGTTGTTATTGAGAGAGAAAAAATATCCTTGATATTTTTGGGGTTGGGGTGATGCAGGCATGGCAGATAGACAAGACAGGACCCTGAAAAAGAAGATAGTGAAGAGACCTCTGGGCAGTGAATCCATAGTGCCTCCTGCACCCATAACGGGAAGGAAAGAAGGACAAAGGAATTCTGATCTGGACCAGCCAGGTAAGGCTCAAGGTCTAAAACACTGGAGAAATGAGATCTATATCTGCATATCCTCTCCAGGATCATTTCTGAACAATTCTACAGCTTTTCATTACATTAAAGAAGGAATGAAAATCAGAATGAAAGTGCATGCCTCACATTGTACCCGGCACACACAGTATGAAAGTATGATGGGTTTTGAGTTGATTGATTCCAGGGAGGGGAGAATACTGAGGAGAAGAGAATTTTTATTGAATGTTACTGTAGACTGGCTAGATGGGTACTTTCCTGCTTGTTCCTTTTCTTTCTTTCTGTAGCTTTATGACTCGATATTTGACATTTTAAATATAGGACAGCTGAAACTCAAAGAGTTTAAAATTTGTTTTAAGACCCATGTTCAGCATATGGATATCCATGGCTTTAATCCAAGTCTTTCTGACCCAAAAGCCCATGTTCTTTTTTTTTTTAGTTTTCGGCGGACACAACATCCTTGTTTGTATGTGGTGCTGAGGATCGAACCCGGGCCGCACGCATGCCAGGCGGGCGCGCTAGCGCTTGAGCCACATCCTCAGCCCAGCCCATGTTCTTTATACTGCGATCTTTTCCACAGATATGTTTTCTTTGCATAGGTATTCAGAATTTTACTAAGCCAGCATAATCTTGCCTTTTAGGACTCTGAACTTTATTCCCATTGCATCTAGGCCTTAAGAAAAAATTTCAAGTTCCCCAAACCAAGGCCTCAGCAACCAACTTGTCTCAGGAAAAAGAAGTTAGAATGATGCCGAAGGGCCTGACCCCACCAGCTCATCACGTGGCCTGTCCCTTGGAGGGGAAAGAAGGGCCTAGACCCCAGGAACCACCGACTAAGGAGGCTGAAAGTATCCCCACTGAAGATGAAGCTTCCAGTGACCTGGACCTGGAGCAACTCATGGAAGATATTGGAGGAGAGTCCAAGGAGCAAGGGGAGCCACAGCATGGAGAGGATGCAGAGGGGTTCCCTGCAGCCTTCTTTGAGGAGTAGTCCTCTGCTCTTATCCTACTATTCTCTGCAGCAGGGGAAAGAGTCTCTTGGGAGGTCCCTGAGCAGTTGATAATTTTGGGGTTGTTAATTGGCTACAAGTTCAAGTCAGTTGTGCAGTTTATGTGTTAATAAAGCAGGTTACTGATGTGATTTGTTTGGCTTCTGTCTAAGCAGTGCTTCATTTTGGCTTCTTTCCTTCCACATGTTACTGTGGCATATCAGTGCCTCTGATGGGAGGCTTGCATGTCATAGGAGCTGGGGAAGGCAGTGAGACCTGAGTCCTGAGAGAACCTCCAGAAGGGTAGGTCTGGTTTCAGATCCTGGCTCAGTGATACTAGCCAGCTCTATAGCCTTGGGCAAGCACTTGAACTATCTCTTCATGCCTCAAATGGGCACATGGTCTAAGTAGGATTGGTGTTTTCATGAGGTGATGGGAGGCATCAGGATAATGCTAGTGGTTACGGTGAGGGGAGATGATGATTAGATCAGAAGCAGTCCTTGGTTCTGTGGTGGCTACCAGGGTTTGGGGATTTGTGTTTCCTGGCCTGAGATAGTCACTGAGAAAAAAAATTCTAGAGGAGGTGGCTTGACTATAAATGGCTGTACCAATTTCTTTGTGTCCTTCAAACCTCCTGATTTCTGAGTTTTCTGGTTTTAGTAATTGGAAGCTGTGGTTTTTCCCATTGGAAGCATAGTTGATTCTTTTTTTAAAATATTCTTTATTTTTTTTATTTTTTATTTTTTATGTAGTGCTGATGATCGAACTCAGGTCCTTGCATGTGCTAGGCAAGTGCTCTACCGCTGAGCCACAACTCCAGCCCTAAGCATAGTTGAATCTAAGATCATCATTTCAACCCCACTCTTTAGGTCTTCAGAACAGAATATAGGCTCTTTTCTGGGGAGCCCCCTTGAAGAGTGTGGCTAGGAGCTGCTCCTGGCAAGGTCAAGTTGGAGAGGGAAAGGGAGGCATAGACAATGTTGTCTTCCTGGGTGAGAACCAAAAGAAGAGGATGTTAGTGGCTTTAATCCAAGTTTTTCTGATCCAAAAGCCCATGTTCTTTATACTGCGATCTTTTCCACAGATACGTTTTTTTGCATAGGTATTTAGAATTTTACTAAGCTAGCATAGTCTTGCCTTATAGGACTCTGAACTTTATTCTCATTGCATCTAGGCCTTAAGAAAAAATTTCAAGTTCCCCAAACCAAGGCTTCAGCAACCAACTTGTCTCAGGAAAAAGAAGTTAGAATGATGCCAAAGGGCTGAACCCACCAGCTCATCATGTGGCCTGTCCCTTGGAGGGGAAAGAAGGGCCTAGACCCCAGAATGGAGGCTTCCCGGAAAAGAACCTATATTCTATTCTGAAGAAGTAGGTTATAGGGAGTATAGGGCATAGGGAGTCAAGTCATGTTCGGGCCTGGCTCTCCTCTCCTAAAGCAAAGACCTACATCCTGAGTACCTTGCCTACACCACAGGCCCTCCATTCCTTGCATGCTAACTTCTCCAAATCCCCCTTACCTCCTTCAGGACCAAGTTTGAGCTGCTTACCTCAGGTTTCATTTTCAAGTGTATGTTGTTTCCTATGGAGGGGAAAACCAATGAGTGCTGAGAGCAAGTGGTATGGCAGGCAGGTGGACAGATGATAGGGGCAGTGGCACCCAGTATCGTTAGGTTATGGGCAGGTCACATGGGAGCGATGAAGTGAGGAACAGAATGGGGGAGAGCACAGAGGTGGTGCATGTGGAGGTAGCAGGTGTTTGGGGGAAGAAGGAAGGGCCCAGGAAGCTTGGGAATGGTGATGGTAGGACTTACCTCTATACTCAACATTCTCATATTGCTCCTCAGTGTTTGAGAAGAGTTCACTGCATGGGGACAAAAGGTTGAGAAGTAGGTTAGAGGTTGGGCATAGGGAGTCAAGTCATGCTGGTTCTCCTTTTGGGGGACACTACAATCTGCCCTGGTACACAGGGTGAATGTGATGGTGTTAGCCCCCCCCCCCCCAGAAGGAGGATGCCTGGAAGAGGAATCAGAGCCCTTGGTGGGCTGTCCAGCAGAGGTCTTAGCACCAACTAAAGGTGGGTTTTCTAGGGAAGCTGCTTGTATTGGGGGCACTTAGGAGAGGTAGGGAGGGTACTGCCTTGGCTAAAACTGGGAGAACAGAACAAATTCAGGTTTTCTGGGCCCTTGCTCAGGCTGGGTCTCTGGAAGGAGAAGGGACCTGGAGATGGGGAAGAAGAGCAGCTGCGCAGGGAGAGAAGAGAGAGATAGAGACCTTAATTGGGAAAGTACGGTAATGGGAGGATGAAGAGGAAAGCACGAGAGAAATGGTGAGCTGGGGCAGAGGATACCTGGGGTTCGTGGGGTATTCATCAGGGGAAAAGGACAGACTGGACAGGCAGCAAGAATGACAAGAGGATCTGGGGAGCTGGATGTGTCCAGGAAGACATATTCAAGTCTGAGGGGAAACCAGATGAACATAAGTTGCAGCTTAGAAATGAAGGAGGGAAGGAAAGAGGATCCAGGAGATAGACTGGAGGGAGCAGTTCTGAATAGGAGAATCTCTGAAAGCCTGTGCATTCTGGTCATTATCAGGGGATAAAGCTTGTGAAGGTAAAGAGCCTGGTCTGTTGGAGGACAAAAGAGTCAGGGATGGGAGAGTGGCTGTAACAGGCACCTTGTATGGTTTTCCCAAGGAGACTTCCCAAACCAGCCCCTCTCCCCCAATCTTGGGAGGACAAATACTCACCTGGCTGGGCTTTGGGCTTTGGTAGGCTGATCTGTAGGAGGACCAACAGCATGTCAGTGTGACATCCATGATGATCCTCCATCCCACCTTCTCAGCTGTGTCCTGCACTCAGACAATCTTTCAAGGAACTAGGGTAGCAGAGAAGTTCTGCCCCAACAGTCAGGAAAGGGCCTGGGACTCAGCTGGCATTCTGCAACCAGCTCTCACCTCTTACTGACCTGTACAGCAAATCCTAAAACAAGCTCTTCTGGTCAATTGCCCCTTCATCCTTGCCCTATCTCCAAACTTTACTTCCTTCTTCCCCCTTGAACTTCTTGACCACTCCTATGTTTCTCCTTGCTTTCCTCCATTGTTCTTTCCTTCCTTTCACAAAAACAGCTTCTAGCACTTTCTCCTTAGTGCTGGCTGCTTCTGCCCATTGTAAATTCAGCCCCAGGGTTGGAATTGTGATCAAGACTTCTATTGCCACTGTGGACCATTCCTCTTAACTCTCAGTTGGTCCTCTTTCTTTTTCCCTATTTAGACGTCTTGGCACTCTTGTTGAAGATCATTTGATTGTAAATTCAAGAGTTTATTTCTGGGTTCTCTATTTTGTTCCAATGTCTGTCTTTATGTCAGTTCCAGGCTGTTTTGATTACTGTAGCTTTGTATTGTTTTGAAATCCAGAAGTGTGGGTCCTCCACACTTGGCTATTTGGAGTGTTTTTGTTTTTTAGTACCAGGGATTGAACCCAGGAGTGCTTAATCAATGAGCCACATCCCCAGCCCTTTTAATTTTTTTATTTGAGACAGGGTCTTTCTAAATTGCTGAGGCTGGTTTTGAACTTGCAGTCCTCCCACCCCAGCCTCCTGAGCCACTGGGATTACAGGAGTGCACACCATGACTGACTTATTTGGTGATTTTTGAAATTCTAATTTTAGGATGAAATTTTCATTTCAGAAAGTAATGCCATTGGAATTTTGACATGGATTGCACTCAATCTGTAGATTCTTTTGGGTAATGGGGCATCTTAACATTAATTCAATTCATGGTTATGAGCTGTCATTCCAATTATCTGTGCTTTCTTTAATTTCTTTCCATAATGTTTTAAATTTTTTTTTTAGTTGTAGATGGCTATAATACTTTTACTTTATTTATTGTTATGTGGTCCGCAGGATTGAACCCAGTGCCTCACACATGCTAGGCAAGTGCTCTACCATAGTTGCAACCCCAGCCCTTCCACAATGTTTTGTACATTGTTTCCAAGTATTTTATTTTATTTTTGATTCTATAATAATTGGATTGTGATCTTTCCCACCTTGCTTCTCCCACCACCACCACCTCTACTAGTAAGTTTCTTGAAAGCTGACTCCACTCTACCGACTTTGATTCTCCAGTTTCAAACCAGGCTGTTTGGAAAGTGGGCACTGGACCAATCCTTGCTGAGCTGATCCAACTTTCTGTTCCTTCTGCTCTCTCCTTTACTTTTCCCAGGGTAAGCCCTCCCTTCTCTATGAACCAAGAGGTAAGAATTGATGAGACATGACTATTAAAGTGAGAAGAACTGGCAGATGACCCAATTGTGTAGACAGGGATTGGTGGTTCTCAGAACTTGATCCCACTTGTAGGGATTATAAAAAGGCAGATTTCCAAGCTCAGACCTCAGAGCCTGACTTGGTGGGTTTGAGGGGAGCCCCACAGTGAGCTGCATTTTCAAGAAGCACCTTCAGTGATTCTGATGCAGGTGAATGTTAAGGATCACCCAATTTGGAAGTTTGGGCAGAGGGTCAAGCTTACCTCTTCTCTTCCACCTGAGGAAGACCATCAGTGCCAAAATTGCAGTTACAAACACAGCAATGGCCAGTGCCACTCCTACTGCAGCTCCCAGACTCAGGGGCTGAGACCCTGATCTCCTTTTGCTCTCTGTGACCTCGATGCCAGTCGTGGTTTTGGAGGTTTTGCTGATGGGAATTTGCATGGTGGTCTTGGCAACTGGAGAAAGATGAAAAATAAGCAGACCCTCCACTGGAGAAGTGGGGGTATCTGGGTGAGGGTTTTGAATCTTGTTCACTAGTTGGGAAATATGGGTAGGGGAGCAACCATCAGGAGTTCATATAAGGAGAGAGTAAAAAATGCTAAATGCTGAGAAGCCAGACAGCCCAGCTTACATCTGACTCTACACCACTTACTGATCTTATCCAGTCACATGATATTAAATCCCATTAATATCCTGATTACTCCCAAGTCTGTCTATCAGTCAACTTTCTCCCTGCACTGCTGATTCATGTCTTAATGCCTCCTCATGCTGCCATTTGTATGTCTAGTAACAACTCAGACTTAAGTGTTCAAAACAGAGCTCTTCATTTCCTCCCACACCTGTTCCTCCTCATTTTCTTTCCCTCCCCACAATAAATGGCAATACTGTCC